TATTTGAAAAGCTGCCACACCAGAATGAGTGATTTTCAATAACTTTATGGTATCAAAATTTGTCTCGATCTGTGCATGAAAAATACAACCCAAACAATCATGTACTGTATTAACCAATACCGAATTTCCCACCACTGCGCCTCCACTGATTAATATATTTAATGGACCAAGCTTAGATGATCGCTGAACGTTGTGCACGATATGATAAAAAACTAAACGTTGTTCAGCTTCCAACATGCGTTTCATTTCCAAATATCTGCGTTCGTCCACGAGGACGGAGCGAAATATATCAGACGGCCTTCCTTTGCTAGTCGGCATTCCAAGCTCATGGCCAATGTCGATTTCCTCAATGGGCAAACTTTCGTTAGTGATCAGACTAGCATCGTCATCAATCTGATCTACAGCACCTTCCAATGCACGGATCTATGACTTAGTGGTAAGAGAATATTCACCACTTTTCTCATTGATGGCAAGCTTGTGCTCGTAAATTTTATAATGGACAATTACAGGATCACTAACCTCTTGACGAAAGGGAACGAATAAGAGAACTTGCTCCCGCATATAATTTGCGGGTCAACATCTCTATGGAAGTTGACGTATCGAATGACCTTCCGTTTAAGTATTTTTGAGTAAAACCTTTTCTTGTCGGATAAATCGGGCCGAAACAACCCATCTGCTTTCTCTGTAATGTCAAATTCCGATACGAAGTCAGCAAAGCAAATTAATTCTATACATCCGGGTCGACAGATGTAACGTTCCAAGATCGCATATGGAGTGAGTATATCCTTAGACTCCGGATCCAATTTTTGTAAATCATATTTTGCTTTTAGTAGTAATACACGTCGGCTTGGGTGATTGGTGTTAACAAAGACCACGCTATGGGTGGATAAGATAGATCGCTCCTTGCGCACTAATTTCCTGTGTATTCAAGACAGCATTTATAATACTACGAAGCACATGTAAAATCCCCGTACCTTGGATTATCGTGAACCTTTTCGCATTCTCGATAATTTTACTCATACCTTTGCCTGATTTTGTCATATAGGTTGCAATATAAGTTGTAACACTATATGGATGAATGCATAGCTGTATATTTATATTGCCTTGCCAAACTGACCATATTGTTTAGTTGAATTTATTGACAAAACAATCTTTCATGTCTCCAGCGTGAAACAGTGTGCGTTTTTTCAGTCCTACACGTAAGCATTCAATATACTCCTCATACATGAGGTGCACTCTACCGGACTTGATCTTCCAGCGCATCATCTTCAAGCGGATTAGGAAATGGGGTTAAGATCATTGTTTTGGGAACTAGTCATTTGGGTATCCCAAAACGACATTTACGCTCACTTCTCTGCCTTTTTAGCTTGCACGTACAGTGAGTTTGTAACTTGAGTAAACCCTCTGTGCAACGATCTTTAACAAGATCTCGAGAGCGACATGAGATATGACGATCAACGAAAGCCAAAATCTCACCAAATGTTGTTGATGAACCGCATGTAAAGACTTACTCCATATCATGCAATGTGAATGTGGGGCCCCACGGTGATGAAATTCGTCCATAACGAAATAATCAACAACCGTGCCTAACAACCCTGTCGTGGCAGATAATAGCTCTCGAAAAATAGCGTTCTTCCTTTCTACATAGTATTGCACGCATACTACTGGATATGTTCGTACTAATAATGCAACTGTTTCAAACTCTAGCAGCGACATACTATTTACATTGCCAAGGTTTGCTATATTGCCGACATTTCTATTTTGCTCAAGAAGGATAGAATGCAAATCTACCGTACTGTATCTGCCACGGAAAATGTTAAGAAAAATGCTGGTAGCCCAAGTTGTCGGATCATAACGAATAGGCGTCACGCTTACAGCTTTCGAGGTACTGTGGGGATGCCCTGAAAGTTTTGAATTCACTATAAATAGCATCCTCCTTTTTTTATCGCATATATTTTTCATTACTTAGAACATCTTTGGCACAATAATTGCCTACGTGCTCCAACATTTCTCACAGCACGCATGTCCCAATGACATTATCCATTTGAATCAACTCTAATTTGAATAGTTTGACAAAAATATTCTGCGCATTCGTAGAGAATCGGCAGTCTTTGTTCAATAGCTCCCATTTAGCAATATCGCGATAACTGATTAATGCCGACTCAACATTGGGCAAACGGCGTTTTCCACAAAAAAGGTGATGGAAAAGCAAGTTCTTCAACGTACTTATCTCCCAATATGGGTAGTGGTCACCAACCTTCCCCTGGTGCCATCTCTACAATGTGTTGTCCCAAATTTCGATAAAAATGTTCATTTGAAAGTATCGTATCCAGCATGCATATCACCTTCATCAATATCTTTCTCTATATCCTCATCGGATAAGCAATCATTCGTTTGACTGCACGATGCTTGTGCCTCAGAGTGGCTAGTGTTTGCGACTTCCTCTTGCAAGCTGTGTATTCGATCTTTATCTAACACGATATTAAATTTCAGAAAAAAAACTTTTGTTTCCAAGAATGCTAGTGCACGCGCAATCTTTTTTGGCTGAACATTGTCATAAAAAACATTATGTGTGTTTTGTAATTTACGTTTAAAACTGACGTGTACAGTATGTGTCTCTTGCGATAATCGTGACAACGCCGTCACCATATCCACAACTTTAACTAGCACATTATCAATACCACCTCGTATCTTATATTGTTTTCCTATATGACCTTGCGTAATATTTGCAAATACAACTCTCGGAGAAACCAACTGTCCCTCCAGTGACATTAGTCCTATGAGCTCATTGGGTCGTTTCTGTAAAATAACCCCACCAAGTTTGGATATAATCGGTACTCTATCATTTCGTAAAGAAAGTGCACAATTGGTACACACCTTGTGAATATCTGGAAATGTTTCGCTACTATACTTCGCTAATTGGCGGTTGAAATAAAGCTTGTCACAACAATGACAAGGGAAAATTGGGCCTTCCTTACAAGATTTTGTTAAATGATCTATAGCGTCTTGAATTATACTATCTTGCACATTTCTTTTCTGTGTAACGCATATCCACGTTGCTGAAAAGAGTGTCCAATGCTTCATCTCGAATCAAATGATCTCCAACATAAAATTCCCCAACTTGGAATGATAAAGCTTTGGTGCAATTTGGACTAAAGATTAAATGCAACAGATATTGTCTTGCATGAGCAGCCGATTCAACAGAATCCCAACGCTCATACACATAGCTTTTTCCACGTACCATTAACTGAAATCCAAACTTTTCACAACTTTCATACACTCCAGTAAATGAACGACTTTGTGTCGCTAATGGTGGTATCCCACAATGATGCATCGTAAATATAGCATCTAGAAAAGGAATCGTGGCTATCTGTTGTTTATTTACAAACAACCTCTGACTGTAAAGAAGTGTTTCATTGCCGTGACAACCACAATGCTGTAGAATGTAATATTATCACGCCAAAGCTGCATGTTTTTTACCTTTAAAGCCCGGAATTAATAGTTTCTTCCCCTCAAGCATCATTGTTATCGCAAAACAACCCTTGTGCTCTCCAATGACGATAACTTTCGACTCATCGACAGGTTCATCTGGGAGTGTAAAACTAATAACCCTATTGGGATCCACTCCACCATCGAACTCATAAATATTATGATTTTGCTTTTGGATACGTGTGCCATTTGATGACCGGTAAAAAATTGGGGGATCATGTAGTATGTCGTCTATTCCAAGGTTATCACAAATACATCCTAAAATCTCAATTGCTGGATGGTCCCTGTTTTGAACCTCATGCGCAGTGTCATTCGACACCACTCGATTACGATTCTCAAGAACCGTAGCGTTCGCGCGTTTTCGAAGAAAGGAGGACCCATGGACATCACCCTAATGAGATTCCTCCAACAGGGTATAATGATTATTTGTTAGTTGTTAGAATATACCATGCTATGCTAGTTGTGTATATTGTGTTTACATCCCTAGTTGGGTGTACACCTGTGTTGGGGTGTCAATCCAACCCAATTGTGGTTGGAGCCCCCAAACACAAGGACCACAATTGTGGGGGCACCACAAGTGGGTTGGCTAAACCACTGGTGGTACACCACACTTGGACCACCTCCAACTGGTGGTCAACCACATTTGGAAGGAGCCTCCCTCCCTTGTGATTGGTCCTAACCCCCCCTTCCCTTCCAACCTTCCCTTCCTAGCTCATCTCTCTCTTCCTATGTAATGCCTTTCCTTCATCAATAAACTGAACCTTTCTGTTTCTAACATGGTATCAGAGCAATAATGGCTCACGCCAACTTTTAAATCCCGATCCTTCCCCACGCTTCCGCCCCGTCCCCTTCCGACGTGCACCTCATTGCCGTCCCCTCCATCGCCGCTGCTAGACTCCTAGCCGCCGCCTCTCAACTAGTTTTCTGTTGGGTGGATTTTCAAAAACCCCCAATGCGCCAAACGCCATAGCTCGCTCGATAGTTGACAGAATTGAGTGATTCGACTTGCAAAACAACGCTCTTGGTGTCAGCTACAACGTCGTAAAATTTCGGACTGTTTCATCGCTTGGATTGTCGGATATCGCTTTCCGAAGTTTGCACACTTTCCTGCATGTGATCACGAAGTGCTACTGAAATTTCTACCAAGTCCTATTTTCATCAGCTAACTGCCATCTTTCCCCATCTTTTGCCTCCTCACCTGCACCTGCTCATCGCCGCCTTACCACTGCTGCAGCCGTAGCAGCAGCAGCAGAAGCAGCAGCAGCACCATAAGGAGCAGCAGACTCAGCAGCAGCAGCAGCAGCAGCAGCAGCAGCAGCAGCAGCAGCAGCAGCAGCTGAAGGAGTAGCAGCAGCAGCAGCAGCAACAGCGGCAGCAGCAGCAGTGGCAGCAGCAGCAGCGGCAGCAGCAGCAACAGCAACAGCAGCAGCAGCAGAAGGAGCAGCAGCAGCAGCAGCAGTATCTACAGCCATCCCCATCCTCCCCTCCTCTTTGAGCCGCCGCGGGTCCACCCGCCGCCGCTCCCTCCCGGCCACCGCGGGTCCACCCGCCGTCGCCTTCCTCCCACTCCGTGTCACCAATGGCATCCTTTCCCCCTCCCGTTGACGTCTCGACCCTCGATCATCTCGTGCGCGCTGCCGACAACTCAGCAACCAATTGGTATTCCTTCGTCGGCAGCCTCCACCGCGTCCTCGGCAGTGCTTATGTCCTGCCGTTCCGCCTCCTGGACATCATGCTTGGTCTCCCAGAGGGTGACCTTGGGGACCCGCCGCCTCACCCTGGCGATCCCCCCCCTCTCATTCCCCATCCCGGCGAGGAACCTCCGCCCCCCATGGTACCCGTTGGCACCAGCACTCGCGCTGCCACCGCTGAAGTTGAGCAGCTCTTCCTTACTCAGCGTCGTGAGTTCCTCGTGCTCCATACTGATTACCTGATCGCGTTGGAGGAACACGAGCGGTCGGCAACCCTCCACACCCAGCATGCCGCTACCGCCGCCGCTTATGCCGCTGACTCTGCGCGATTTGCTGAGCGTCGTCGCGCCTGGCTCGAGGCGGACAGCCGTGCTACTGGTGCCCTTCTCCTTGCCATCCCGTCTGCGCTCATGCGCAACTTCCAGGCACGTCGCATCGGCTCCCGCCAGATCTGGCTCGAGCTTGAGGCAATGTTCGAACGCACCGACTTCGATGCTGTCGGACCGCTCTTCAAGGAATACTTCAGCATCACGATCGAACATAGTGCTGGCGCTGTTGACTACACCAGCCGTCTCCTGGACCTTGCCTCCCGCCTTGAGGCTCGCCAGACTACTCTCCCCCCCAACCTTCAGATCTACCGTCTCCTCGAAGGCCTCTCCCCTCAATATGAAGTGCGCGTCATCGCCTTCACTGAGGCTCAGCCCCGCGCCTCCCTTGACACTGTGGTCCAATGGATCATTGACGCTGAGGCCCGCCTTCTCTCAACCCCCCCCTCCGGCCTGAACTCCACCGCGTCCCAAAACCCCCAGCTTGCAGTCACACAGCCGCGTCGTGGCGGGCGCCCACGTGGCGGCCGCACCAACCCTCAGGGAGGGGGTGGAGGTGGCGGTTGTGGGGGCAGCGGAGCCGGCGGCGGTGGTGGCGGGGTCGAGGGTGGCAGCAGTGGTGGTGGTGGAGGCAGTGGTGGCTCATCTGGTAGCCGTGGTGGCCGCCCTGGCACTCTTCCCCCATGTTCCTATCTTCGCCGTTTTGGTCCCAGGGCGGGTGAGCGCTGCACCCAAACCAACCATCCCCCCGCAACCTGCTTCAAGGCGTATGATGACGCCTGGTTCGAGCGCGGCAACACTGGCACCCCCCCACGCTGGTCTGCCATGGATCCCCGCCCCTCTCTCCAGGATGTCAAAACTCTTCCGTCTTTCCTCCCCTCTCATCTTCAGCTCTCCTCCTCCTCCTCCTCTGTCGCTGACCCCATAACTCCCCAGGAGCTGCAGCAGTTTCGCCGCTTCCAGCAGCTGCAGCTGCTGCAGCAGCAGCAGCAGTGGGGCTCTGGTGGTCAGGCTGCAGCCGCAGCTGCAGGAGCCGCAGCCGCAGCATCTGCATGGCAGCAGCAGCAGCTTGGCTTTGGCACCGCCGCCATGGCTGCCACAGCCACACCAGGTCCTCCTGGCTTTCCCCTCTGGGGCTCTCCTTCCCCTAGTGCTCCCGCCTCCCACTCCAGCTTTCTAGGCGAGCTCATGCGTTCTTCCCCTGCTTCCACTTCCATGTATCCCTCTGTTTTTAATGCCAGTGATTTCCAGTACCCCGTGTCTTCAGCTCCCTCCTCGCTCACGATTGACTTTGTTCTCGATAGTGGTGCCACTGAAACTGCCCTCAAAGACGCCGGCACCCTCACCTCCCTCCCTTTCCCCACCAACGTTCATGGTGCTGATTCCAGCTTCTCCATCCCTTGCACCCATCTCTCCACCCTCCCCTGCCCCCCTTCCCCTCTGGAGTGGTCACTGGTCTCCACATTCCCTCCCTTCGTGATAACCTGCTCTCCATTCGTGAACTCCAACAGGCTGGCATCACTACCCTCTTCCCCGCCTCTGCCACCTACTGTGACCTCCTCCACGGCCCCACTCGCCGCCTCCTTCATCGCCTCCCACTTTGCCCTCGCTCTCGTCAGTACATCCTCCGCACACCCCGCCCCTCCTCATGCCACGTGACCACTCGTGCAGGCACCTCCACTCTCCCCCCTCCCCTCCCTCTAGAGCCACCTTCCTCAACCTCCACCTCCTCTCCATGCTCTTGTCGCGCACTGTCCCACCCCGCTGTTCTCATCCACCACCGCCTTGGTCATATGAACTTTCCCACACTTCGTAAAGCCATCTCCTCCCGCTTGCTTGACGGTCTCCCCCCCACTCTTCCTCCCCTCCCGTCCTCTTCCGCTCCCCCATGCGCCACATGCATTCATGGAAAGCTCAAACAACAGCCTCACCTCAGTCATCCTTCCTTTGCTGCTGCCCCCCTTGACCTCGTCCACATGGACCTCTAGGGCCCTAACCCTTCCCCTTCCCGCCAAGGGCACCGGTACCTGCTTGTCCTAGTCGACGACCACAGCAGGTACTCCTCGGTGTTCCTCCTCCACACGAAGGCCGAGGCCCCTGCTGTCATCGTTACCTGGGCCGAGCAGTGCCGAGTCCACTTTGGTCGCCCCATCCGCCGCCTCCATTCCGACGGCGGTGGTGAGTTTCTCAACCGCACCCTCTCCTCCTACTGCTCAACCCATGGCATCCAGCAGACTCATACCCTTCCCCACTCCCCTCAGCAGAACGGTGTTGCTGAGAGTCGCATTCGTGAGATCACCAAGACGGCCCGCTGCCTCCTCACTCATGCCTCCACGCCCCCTTCTCTTTGGGGCTATGCCCTTGTCCATGCTGCTCTCCTTACTAATCTTTACCCACATCCTCAACGCCAGTCTGTCACTCCCACTGAGCTCTGGGCGAGCACCAAGCCAGATGCTGCCATTCTCCGTATCTGGGGTTGCAAGGCATATGTCCTCATCCCCCCACCTGACCGCTCTCGGCAGGCAGGAAAGCTCGCCTCCAAGGCCATTGAGTGTGTCTACCTTGGCCACGCTCGCTCTGCCCCTGGTTACCTCTTCCTTCACCCGTCCTCAGGCCGCCTCCTACAGAGCCGTGACGTGGTGTTCGATGAGAGCATCCCGTTCTATCATTCTGTTCCGCCTTCCGACCCCCTTCCTCCTCTCTCCCGCCCCCTCACCTGGGCTGATGCTGTCATTCCCCCACTCCTTCCCCAGGCTCCCCTCCTTCCTCCAAATCCTGCTCCTCCCCCTCCTCCTTCCTCAGGTGACATTTACGACCCAGCTGTCCCTGACTCCCCTGCTCACTCTGCCTCATCGCACCAGCAGCAGCAGCAGCAACAGCAGCAGCAGCAGCAGCAGCAGCAGCAGCAGCAGAAGAGGCAGCAGCAGCAGCAGCAGCAGAAGGAGCAGCAGCAGCAGCAGCAACAGGTGCAGCAGCAGCAGCGGATGGAGCAGCAGCAGCAGCAGCAGCAGCAGCAGGAGGTGCAGCAGCGGATGGAGCAGCAGCAGCAGCAGCAGCAGCAACCGCAGGCAGTGCAGCAACAGCAGCCGCAGCAGGAGGTGCAGCAGCAGCACCAGCAGCAGCCACAGCAGCAGCAGCAGCACCAGCAGCAGCCACTGCAGCAACCTCATCGGCATCGCCGCACCACCTCTCCGTTCATCCTCCCACGCATCCACACTCGCTCTCACGGCCCACTCATAGGCCATCCATGGGGTTGGCCAACACCACCCCCACCCTCCCTTCCCTTCATTGAGGACTCCCATGAGGAGCTCATTGGCGTTCAGCAACAAACACCTTCCCTCACGCCTCTCTACCCGGGCTTCCTTGGCCTCCTCATCCTTGGCATCGCTACCGCTCCCACCAGATTCACTCCGTCCAACTTCCTTGAGGCCATCACCTGCCCCGATGCTGCCAAGTGGATCCAGGCTATCTTTGCTGAATGCGAGGCCTTCATCCGCAATGCCTCATTCGTTAACATTGTCCCCTCTCCTGACGACGTCATTGTTGAAGGCCTGTGGGTGTTCCGAGTGAAGCAGCTGCCGGGTGAGGAGCCGGTCTACAAGGCCCGGTATTGTGCCAAGGGCTTCACCCAAACCCATGGCATCGACTACTGGGAGACATTCTCTCCCACTGCCAAGCTCCCAACTCTCCGTGCCATCCTCGACTATGCTGTTCGCATTGGCATGGAGATTGCCTCCATGGATGTCTCCAACGCCTTCCTGCAAGGCGAGCTCCAGGAGCGGGTCCTCTTGCGGCGGCCTCCAGGCTTTCATGCAGCCTTCCCTGCCAACACAGTCTGGGAGCTGCGCCGCCCGGTTTATGGCCTCAAGCAGGCTCCTCGCGAGTGGCACAACAAGCTGGCCGCCACTCTGCAGTCCTTGGGGTTCCATGCCTCTCAGTCTGATGCCAGCCTTTTCCTTCGCTCCTCTCCCACCCGCTTCTTCATCCTGGTGTATGTCGACGACATGATCCTGTTCGCTGACGATGCTGCCGCCATGCAGCAAGTGAAGGACGCCCTGCATGCGCGCCTCAAGTGCAAGGACCTGGGTGAGCTCAAGCACTATCTGGGCATGACCATCACCCGGGACCGCACATCGCGCACCATTACCCTCTCTCAGTCCTTCTACATCGACCAAGTCTTGCAGCGGTTCGACATGGCGCAGGCCAAGCCGGTTACCACTCCCCTGCAGACCGACCACCAGCTTGCCCCTCCTCCTGCTCCCTCCTCCTCTGACCATCCTTACGCTGAGCTCGTCGGCTCGCTGATGTACGCTATGATGTGCACCCGCCCCGACCTTGCCTACCCCATCAGTGTTCTTGCTCGATTCGTCGGTACCGGTCGCCACACTGATGAGCACTGGGCTGCAGCGAAGCGGGTCCTCCGCTACCTCCGTGGTACCAAGGACTATGTCCTCACCCTCGGAGGCTCTTCTCCTCCCCTCCTCTCTGGCTTCAGTGACTCCTCCTGGGCTGACTCCCAGCCGGATCGCCGTTCCTCTCAAGGCTACGGCTTCACCCTTGGCAGCGGCCTCATCAGCTGGCGCTCCACTCGCTCCTCCTCCATCGCCCTCTCATCCTGCGAGGCTGAGCTCTATGCTTGCACCATGGCCGCTCAGGAGGCTCGCTGGCTCACCTTCCTCCTTGCTGAGATTGGTGCTCCTCAGCGCTGTCCCACCCTCTGGTGCGACAACGCCAGCACCATCCATCTCACAAAGGACCCTGTCTTCCATGGCCGCTCCAAGCACATTGAACTCCGCTACTTCTTCGTTCGAGAGTTGGTCCAGCAAGGTCACTTGGTGGTCCGCAAGATCGCTGCAGAGGCCAACTTGGCCGACATCTTCACCAAGGCCCTCCCGAAGACCGCGCACTCTGCCCTCCTCCGCCTTCTCGGCCTTGGGCCCCGCCCCCCCTTCCTGATTCTGGGGTTGTACCCTACATATACACTAGCTTTGCATGCTATGGGGTTGTGTTAGAATATACCATGCTATGCTAGTTGTGTATATTGTGTTTACATCCCTAGTTGGGTGTACACCTGTGTTGGGGTGTCAATCCAACCCAATTGTGGTTGGAGCCCCCAAACACAAGGACCACAATTGTGGGGGCACCACAAGTGGGTTGGCTAAACCACTGGTGGTACACCACACTTGGATCACCTCCAACTGGTGGTCAACCACATTTGGAAGGAGCCTCCCTCCCTTGTGATTGGTCCTAACCCCCCCTTCCCTTCCAACCTTCCCTTCCTAGCTCATCTCTCTCTTCCTATGTAATGCCTTTCCTTCATCAATAAACTGAACCTTTCTGTTTCTAACATTAGTAACAAGTGGAGATCGTCAATATTGTTGACGGAATTCACACCTTCACAATGACTCCATTCTCATTGATGGAACCAAAAGATAACCGGTCTTTCTTTCACTTCGCAAAAAGCCTTGATTTCGCACAACGTGTCCAATACGTGATCAGGTTTAATGAATTCACAGTACTTTGCGGGGCTATCTATGTGTGAACCATGGCATCCTTTTACGTCCTCTGCAAAAGTCGACCAGTTGCTTTGTACATGTTGTGTTATTTCAACTTTCAGAGTGCCCCACGATGATTCACCGCCAGAGTTTGCGATGTTGTCTCTATTAGTCGACACAATTTCGTCACCATTTGGAAGAGTATAACTTGCACGCTCTTGTTCCGTCAAATTTCGAAAATCCCTATGTCTCATAAAACAAATGGCTCCTCCTTTCATAAGCACTCTACCCCCACCTAGTAGTAACTTTTTGGCTGGCATTATCCTTGTCCATCCTTTCGCATAATACTAAATCTTTCTCTTCTTATTCTAAACCTCTCCCTTGCGGATTCGCTCTTCCATCTCGAGGATACGATCAACGCCTCACCATAAGAAACAAAAATCCACTGCTTTAAAGCGAGAACTGCACTTGCTGCTGTAGAGGCTGAAGACCACTGCACAAGATCCCACCTGCAAAAATGGGAAACAAGAAGTACTGTAAATCGGGTGACAGTGGGTATAAAATATTACCTAAACACTATAACCATACACGTTCAATGACAATGGATATCGAACCCGAGTGATCTCCTTGGCAGCCAAACATGCAAACGAGAACGGCTAAGCCACACAAAGTCGAGAGACACCTTGCACGAAATATAGAGGTAAGAAAGAAATAAAATCACACTCACATAGAACAAACAACAAAAGGAAACAAAGCAAAACAAAAACATTAGGAGCGAGGGAATGAAACCCTGGCGCTGACCTTAGAAAACACCTGATTGAAGACCGATGAGCCACCAAACTCCAATAGCACCCTGCACGAATTAGCATAAAATACAATGAATTTTACGCATAACATATAATACAAGAAAACAGAGAAAAACAGCATATCGGTTGACAGGGGAAACAAACCCGGGCGATCACCTTGACTCAAAACCCGATCGAGCTGACCGCTCAATCAAACAAACTCAAGAAATATTCTGCACAAAACTTTCACGTAAAAACTAGATCAAACTTACATCGAACAAACAACAGTAGAAAACAGAGAAGAAAAAAAACAAAGCAAAACGAAACATGGAAGACATGGTTATAGGTGCTCACCTTGCCAGAGATACGCGATTGAGCAGACCGCTGAGCCATCGAACACACTAAACAAAATGTAAACATAAAATATAATAAATTTCACATAGAACAAATAACAGAAGAAATTTGATATATGAGCCTATTAGGTTACAGCTGTTAGAAATAGACTGCAAATACCACTTTTGTATTTGTACTTTTATATCCTAGTTTAGGTTATGAATGTTCTACTGGGTTGGGGTGTACTCACAAATCCCAACCTCACCCAATTGTGATCCCCCCAATCTCCAATTACCCAATTGGAGATTCCGGAGATCCCAATGGGGATTCCCTCCAATTCCTCCTTCATCCATTCACTCTCACCTTGCCATGTACTTATAGAGCCTTGGGCTCCTTACCCAATCAATCATTTTCAACTCTATTTCTTACATGGACCTTGATCCGCGTCTCGCGTCATGAAAGAGCAGGTACACAGGTTGAAGTGGAGCGGAGCTGGTTGCGGAGCTGGTTGCGGAGCTGTGTAGTTGCGGGACAGGGCCTGGGGGTGTGTGGGGGGGTGTGTGGGTCCGGGGTTAGACATAGGCTCAGATTCAGTTTCAAGTCGGCGTTTTAACGAATTTTCGCCGACGCCATTTCCTACTTAGCGGCATTTTGATAAAGCCGTCAGAGTGATTTGCAGCAATTCTCGTCGACCAATTTCCAGAAGTGCCGCGCTGCACACCGACAATGGCTTACTCAACCACTTCACTCGCCAACCCGATCCCGCTCCTTCGTCTCGAGCCGGAGGGCACATGCTCCAACTAAAAGGCTTGGCGCTATGGTTTCGACAAGCACCTCCTCAGTCGCGAGGTGAAGGGGCTCGAGCTCACCGACGTCCTTCTCAACATCGGTGACGGCAAAGAGCCTCCTAAACCCGAGAGGTCCGCCGATCCAGCTAATGCCGCCGCCGAAGCAGTTTATGCTGCTGCACTGCTCAAGTACAAGAATTGGGAGAAGGCCGATGGTGCGGTCATTAGTGTCTTCATGGGCACCACTCCTACCGAACTCGTCGAAACCTACCACAACTACCCGTCTGCCAACGCCCTTTGGCTCTACCTCGAGGATCGCTTCCTGAACAAGACTGCAGTGGGAGTTGCTATACTCATCCCCAGCATGTTCCAAGTGCGGCTCGAGGACTCGCCAGGCATGGCGGACTATGTCACCAAGGTGCAGTCCATTCATGGTGAACTCAAGCCGTTGGGGATAGTCTTCCCCGAGCAAGCCCCTGCAGCCGCTCTCCTAGTCGGCCTCACTCCTGCATACGAAGTCACATGCAAGATGCTCTTGGGCCTTGCTCCTGCAGACCTCACATTTGCCAAGGTCTCATCCGCGCTCCTTTCTGCCGAAAAGGACAACAGCGCTCAAGCCAAGGCCAATGCAATCCGCGTGTTAGAAACAGAAAGGTTCAGTTTATTGATGAAGCAAAGGCATTACATAGGAAGAGAGAGATGAGCTAGGAAGGGAAGGTTGGAAGGGAAAGGGGGGGTTAGGACCAATCACAAGGGAGGGAGGATCCTTCCAAATGTGGTTGACCACCAGTTGGAGGTGATCCAAGTGTGGTGTACCACCAGTGGTTTAGCCAACCCACTTGTGGTGCCCCCACAATTGTGGTCCTTGTGTTTGGGGGCTCCAACCACAATTGGGTTGGATTGACACCCCAACACAGGTGTACACCCAACTAGGGATGTAAACACAATATACACAACTAGCATAGCATGGTATATTCTAACACAACCCCATAGCATGCAAAGCTAGTGTATATGTAGGGTACAACCCCAGAATCAGGAAGGGGGGGCGGGGCCCAAGGCCGAGAAGGCGGAGGAGGGCAGAGTGCGCGGTCTTCGGGAGGGCCTTGGTGAAGATGTCGGCCAAGTTGGCCTCTGCAGCGATCTTGCGGACCACCAAGTGACCTTGCTGGACCAACTCTCGAACGAAGAAGTAGCGGAGTTCAATGTGCTTGGAGCGGCCATGGAAGACAGGGTCCTTTGTGAGATGGATGGTGCTGGCGTTGTCGCACCAGAGGGTGGGACAGCGCTGAGGAGCACCAATCTCAGCAAGGAGGAAGGTGAGCCAGCGAGCCTCCTGAGCGGCCATGGTGCAAGCATAGAGCTCAGCCTCGCAGGATGAGAGGGCGATGGAGGAGGAGCGAGTGGAGCGCCAGCTGATGAGGCCGCTGCCAAGGGTGAAGCCGTAGCCTTGAGAGGAACGGCGATCCGGCTGGGAGTCAGCCCAGGAGGAGTCACTGAAGCCAGAGAGGAGGGGAGGAGAAGAGCCTCCGAGGGTGAGGACATAGTCCTTGGTACCACGGAGGTAGCGGAGGACCCGCTTCGCTGCAGCCCAGTGCTCATCAGTGTGGCGACCGGTACCGACGAATCGAGCAAGAACACTGATGGGGTAGGCAAGGTCGGGGCGGGTGCACATCATAGCGTACATCAGCGAGCCGACGAGCTCAGCGTAAGGATGGTCAGAGGAGGAGGGAGCAGGAGGAGGGGCAAGCTGGTGGTCGGTCTGCAGGGGAGTGGTAACCGGCTTGGCCTGCGCCATGTCGAACCGCTGCAAGACTTGGTCGATGTAGAAGGACTGAGAGAGGGTAATGGTGCGCGATGTGCGGTCCCGGGTGATGGTCATGCCCAGATAGTGCTTGAGCTCACCCAGGTCCTTGCACTTGAGGCGCGCATGCAGGGCGTCCTTCACTTGCTGCATGGCGGCAGCATCGTCAGCGAACAGGATCATGTCGTCGACATACACCAGGATGAAGAAGCGGGTGGGAGAGGAGCGAAGGAAAAGGCTGGCATCAGACTGAGAGGCATGGAACCCCAAGGACTGCAGAGTGGCGGCCAGCTTGTTGTGCCACTCGCGAGGAGCCTGCTTGAGGCCATAAACCGGGCGGCGCAGCTCCCAGACTGTGTTGGCAGGGAAGGCTGCATGAAAGCCTGGAGGCCGCCGCAAGAGGACCCGCTCCTGGAGCTCGCCTTGCAGGAAGGCGTTGGAGACATCCATGGAGGCAATCTCCATGCCAATGCGAACAGCATAGTCGAGGATGGCACGGAGAGTTGGGAGCTTGGCAGTGGGAGAGAATGTCTCCCAGTAGTCGATGCCATGGGTTTGGGTGAAGCCCTTGGCACAATACCGGGCCTTGTAGACCGGCTCCTCACCCGGCAGCTGCTTCACTCGGAACACCCACAGGCCTTCAACAATGACGTCGTCAGGAGAGGGGACAATGTTAACGAATGAGGCATTGCGGATGAAGGCCTCGCATTCAGCAAAGATAGCCTGGATCCACTTGGCAGCATCGGGGCAGGTGATGGCCTCAAGGAAGTTGGACGGAGTGAATCTGGTGGGAGCGGTAGCGATGCCAAGGATGAGGAGGCCAAGGAAGCCCGGGTAGAGAGGCGTAAGGGAAGGTGTTTGTTGCTGAACGCCAATGAGCTCCTCATGGGAGTCCTCAATGAAGGGAAGGGAGGGTGGGGGTGGTGTTGGCCAACCCCATGGATGGCCTATGAGTGGGCCGTGAGAGCGAGTGTGGATGCGTGGGAGGATGAACGGAGAGGTGGTGCGGCGATGCCGATGAGGTTGCTGCAGTGGCTGCTGCTGCTGCTGCTGCTGCTGCTGCTGTGGCTGCTGCTGGTGCTGCTGCTGCACCTCCTGCTGCGGCTGCTGTTGCTGCACTGCCTGCGGTTGCTGCTGCTGCTGCTGCTGCTGCTGCTGCTGCTGCTGCTGCTGCTGCTGCTGCTGCTGCTGCTCCTGCTCCATCCGCTGCTGCTGCTGCACCTGCTGCTGCTGCTGTTGCTGCTGCTGCTGCTGCTCCTTCTGCTGCTGCTGCTGCTGCTGCCGCTGCTGCTGGTGCTGGTGCGATGAGGCAGAGTGAGCAGGGGAGTCAGGGACAGCTGGGTCGTAAATGTCACCTGAGGAAGGAGGAGGGGGAGGAGCAGGATTTGGAGGAAGGAGGGGAGCCTGGGGAAGGAGTGGGGGAATGACAGCATCAGCCCAGGTGAGGGGGCGGGAGAGAGGAGGAAGGGGGTCGGAAGGCGGAACAGAATGATAGAACGGGATGCTCTCATCGAACACCACGTCACGGCTCTGTAGGAGGCGGCCTGAGGACGGGTGAAGGAAGAGGTAACCAGGGGCAGAGCGAGCGTGGCCAAGGTAGACACACTCAATGGCCTTGGAGGCGAGCTTTCCTGCCTGCCGAGAGCGGTCAGGTGGGGGGATGAGGACATATGCCTTGCAACCCCAGATACGGAGAATGGCAGCATCTGGCTTGGTGCTCGCCCAGAGCTCAGTGGGAGTGACAGACTGGCGTTGAGGATGTGGGTAAAGATTAGTAAGGAGAGCAGCATGGACAAGGGCATAGCCCCAAAGAGAAGGGGGCGTGGAGGCATGAGTGAGGAGGCAGCGGGCCGTCTTGGTGATCTCACGAATGCGACTCTCAGCAACACCGTTCTGCTGAGGGGAGTGGGGAAGGGTATGAGTCTGCTGGATGCCATGGGTTGAGCAGTAGGAGGAGAGGGTGCGGTTGAGAAACTCACCACCGCCGTCGGAATGGAGGCGGCGGATGGGGCGACCAAAGTGGACTCGGCACTGCTCGGCCCAGGTAACGATGACAGCAGGGGCCTCGGCCTTCGTGTGGAGGAGGAACACCGAGGAGTACCTGCTGTGGTCGTCGACTAGGACGAGCATGTACCGGTGCCCTTGGCGGGAAGGGGAAGGGTTAGGGCCCCAGAGGTCCATGTGGACGAGGTCAAGGGGGGCAGCAGCAAAGGAAGGATGACTGAGGTGAGGCTGTTGTTTGAGCTTTCCATGAATGCATGTGGCGCATGGGGGAGCGGAAGAGGACGGGAGGGGAGGAAGAGTGGGGGGAAGACCGTCAAGCAAGCGGGAGGAGACGGCTTTACGAAGTGTGGGAAAGTTCATATGACCAAGGCGGTGGTGGATGAGAACAGCGGGGTGGGACAGTGCGCGACAAGAGCATGGGGAGGAGGTGGAGTTGGAGGAAGGTGGCTCTAGAGGGAGGGGAGGGGGGAGAGTGGAGGTGCCTGCACGAGTGGTCACATGGCATGAGGAGGGGGGGGGTGTGCGGAGGATGTACTGACGAGAGCGAGGGCAAAGTGGGAGGCGATGAAGGAGGCGGCGAGTGGAGCCGTGGAGGAGGTCACAGTAGGTGGTAGAGGCGGGGAAGAGGGTAGTGATGCCAGCCTGTTGGAGTTCACGAATGGAGAGCAGGTTATGACGAAGGGAGGGAATGTGGAGACCAGTGACCACTCCAGAGGGGAAGGGGGGGCAGGGGAGGGTGGAGAGATGAGTGCAAGGGATGGAGAAGCTGGAATCAACACCATGAACGTTGGTGGGGAAAGGGAGGGAGGTGAGGGTGCCGGCGTCTTTGAGGGCAGTTTCAGTGGCACCACTATCGAGAACAAAGTCAATCGTGAGCGAGGAGGGAGCTGAAGACACGGGGTACTGGAAATCACTGGCATTAAAAACAGAGGGATACATGGAAGTGGAAGCAGGGGAAGAACGCATGAGCTCGCCTAGAAAGCTGGAGTGGGAGGCGGGAGCACTAGGGGAAGGAGAGCCCCAGAGGGGAAAGCCAGGAGGACCTGGTGTGGCTGTGGCAGCCATGGCGGCGGTGCCAAAGCCAAGCTGCTGCTGCTGCCATGCAGATGCTGCGGCTGCGGCTCCTGCAGCTGCGGCTGCAGCCTGACCACCAGAGCCCCACTGCTGCTGCTGCTGCAGCAGCTGCAGCTGCTGGAAGCGGCGAAACTGCTGCAGCTCCTGGGGAGTTATGGGGTCAGCGACAGAGGAGGAGGAGGAGGAGAGCTGAAGATGAGAGGGGAGGAAAGACGGAAGAGTTTTGACATCCTGGAGAGAGGGGCGGGGATCCATGGCAGACCAGCGTGGGGGTGTGCCAGTGTTGCCGCGCTCGAACCAGGCGTCATCATACGCCTTGAAGCAGGTCGTGGGGGGATGGTTGGTTTGGGTGCAGCGCTCACCCGCCCTGGGACCAAAACGGCGAAGATAGGAACATGGGGGGAGAGTGCCAGGCCGGCCACCACGGCTACCAGATGAGCCACCACTGCCTCCACCACCACCACTGCTGCCACCCTCGACCCCGCCACCACCGCCGCCGGCTCCGCTGCCCCCACAACCGCCACCTCCACCCCCTCCCTGAGGGTTGGTGCGGCCGCCACGTGGGCGCCCGCCACGACGCGGCTGTGTGACTGCAAGCTGGGGGTTTTGGGACTCGGTGGAGTTCAGGCCGGAGGGGGGGGTTGAGAGAAGGCGGGCCTCAGCGTCAATGATCCATTGGACCACAGTGTCAAGGGAGGCGCGGGGCTGAGCCTCAGTGAAGGCGATGACGCGCACTTCATATTGAGGGGAGAGGCCTTCGAGGAGACGGTAGATCTGAAGGTTGGGGGGGAGAGTAGTCTGGCGAGCCTCAAGGCGGGAGGCAAGGTCCAGGAGACGGCTGGTGTAGTCAACGGCGCCAGCACTATGTTCGATCGTGATGCTGAAGTATTCCTTGAAGAGCGGTCCGACAGCATCGAAGTCGGTGCGTTCGAACATTGCCTCAAGCTCGAGCCAGATCTGGCGGGAGCCGATGCGACGTGCCTGGAAGTTGCGCATGAGCGCAGACGGGATGGCAAGGAGAAGGGCACCAGTAGCACGGCTGTCCGCCTCGAGCCAGGCGCGACGACGCTCAGCAAATCGCGCAGAGTCAGCGGCATAAGCGGCGGCGGTAGCGGCATGCTGGGTGCGGAGGGTTGCCGACTGCTCGTGTTCCTCCAACGCGATCAGGTAATCAGTATGGAGCACGAGGAACTCACGACGCTGAGTAAGGAAGAGCTGCTCAACTTCAGCGGTGGCAGCGCGAGTGCTGGTGCCAACGGGTACCATGGGGGGCGGAGGTTCCTCGCCGGGATGGGGAATGAGAGGGGGGGGATCGCCAGGGTGAGGCGGCGGGTCCGTAAGGTCACCCTCTGGGAGACCAAGCATGATGTCTAGGAGGCGGAACGGCAGGACATAAGCACTGCCGAGGACGCGGTGGAGGCTACCGACGAAGGAATACCAGTTGGTTGCTGAGTTGTCGGCAGCGCGCACGAGATGATCGAGGGTCGAGACGTCGACGGGAGGGGGAAAGGATGCCATTGGTGACACGGAGTGGGAGGAAGGCGACGGCGGGTGGACCCGCGGTGGCTGGGAGGGAGCGGCGGCGGGTGGACCCGCGGCGGCTCAAAGAGGAGGGGAGGATGGGGATGGCTGTAGATACTGCTGCTGCTGCTGCTGCTGCTGCTGCTGCTGCTGCTGCTGCTGCTGCTGCTGCTGCTGCTGCTGCTGCTGCTGCTGCTGATGCTGCTGCTGCTGCTGCTCCTTCTGCTGCTGCTGCTGCTGCTGTTGCTGTTGCTGCTGCTGCCGCTGCTGCCGCTGCTGCTGCTGCCGCTGCTGCCGCTGCTGCTGCTGCTGCTGCTGCTCCTTCTGCTGCTGCTGCTGCTGCTGTTGCTGTTGCTGCTGCTGCCGCTGTTGCTGCTGCTGCTGCTGCTGCTGCTCCTTCAGCTGCTGCTGCTGCTGCTGCTACTGCTGCTGCTGAGTCTGCTGCTCCTTCTGGTGCTGCTGCTACTTCTGCTGCTGCTGCTACGGCTGCAGCAGTGGTAAGGCGGCGATGAGCAGGTGCAGGTGAGGAGGCAAAAGATGGGGAAACATGGCAGTTAGCTGATGAAAATAGGACTTGGTAGAAATTTCAGTAGCACTTCGTGATCACATGCAGGAAAGTGTGCAAACTTCGGAAAGCGATATCCGACAATCCAAGCGATGAAACAGTCTGAAATTTTACGACGTTGTAGCTGACACCAAGAGCGTTCTTTTGCAAGTCAAATCACTCAATTCTGTCAACTATCGAGCGAGCTATGGCGTTTGGCGCATTGGGGGTTTTTGAAAATCCACCCAACAGAAAACTAGTTGAGAGGCGGCGGCTAGGAGTCTAGCAGCGGCGATGGAGGGGACGGCAATGAGGTGCACGTCGGAAGGGGACGGGGCGGAAGCGTGGGGAAGGATCGGGATTTAAAAGTTGGCGTGAGCCATTATTGCTCTGATACCATGTTAGAAACAGAAAGGTTCAGTTTATTGATGAAGGAAAGGCATTACATAGGAAGAGAGAGATGAGCTAGGAAGGGAAGGTTGGAAGGGAAGGGGGGGTTAGGACCAATCACAAGGGAGGGAGGCTCCTTCCAAATGTGGTTGACCACCAGTTGGAGGTGGTCCAAGTGTGGTGTACCACCAGTGGTTTAGCCAACCCACTTGTGGTGCCCCCACAATTGTGGTCCTTGTGTTTGGGGGCTCCAACCACAATTGGGTTGGATTGACACCCCAACACAGGTGTACACCCAACTAGGGATGTAAACACAATATACACAACTAGCATAGCATGGTATATTCTAACACCGCGCTCCCGTGCCTCAAGCCTATGCCGCTTCGGTGCCATTCCAGCGCAACCGCTCCCCCCCGTGTCCCTATGTCATCAAGCGCGGCCCTCGTGCCGGCCAGGTGTGTGGCGGCACCAACCACGCCCTTGCCTCCTGCTTCAAGAAAAAGGATGACGATTGGTATGCCGTCAATGGGACCGCCTCGAAGCCGCCAAGCTGGATGGTCAATCGTGCTTCTCGCAAGGTCAATCAAGTCGAAGCGCAGGAATCCGTGCAGGCTGCTGTAGCTCCCACTGCTGATGTGCGCCTCAACATGTTGTTCCCTGGCACTGCCATGATCAATGAGACAATTTCGCAGTGTCCCGGCTCACAAAGCACCTCAGCCACAATAGAGTTCACCCTCAACAGTGGGGCCACTCACACGGTTCTCAAGGAAGAACACTCCTTCAAGCCATACGAGACACCAATCCGTCTACTAGGAGCAGACTCCAGTTTCACAACACACGCCAAGGGCTCCTCCACAGTTCCGTGCCCAGCTTTTCCTTCGGGCAGTGTGACCGGCATGTGTGTTCCCACACTACGCCACAATCTCGTGGCCCAACACGAGCTCCAACGGGCAGGCGTCACCACGATCTTTCCAGCACACTCGGATCACTGTGACCTCTTCGACCCTAAGTCCAACAAGCTCCTAGCACGCTTCACACTCAACAGTGGCAAGCTCTACACGCTGCGTTCACCTGCACCTCTCGCCGCCCTCTCCCAAGCGCAAGCTGCCAGCACCACTCCGTGTTCGTGTCGCAGCTTCGCCAACCCAACCATCCTCTACCACCATCGCTTGGGTCACCCCAACTTCCGTACACTTGCCGACATCGCTTCCAAGAAACTTCTTCTTGGCCTCTTGTCGGCGCTTCCTCCACCAGCAGACTCACCTGCACCCACCTGCCTGGACTGCACCAAGAGCAAGCTCAGGCAGCAGCCGCACCCTTCCTCCCCATCCGTCGCAGCTGCTGGACCTAGTGCACATGGATGTCTGGGGCCCAGCTCCAGTCGCATCCCGAGGCGGTCATCGGTGTTAGAAATAGACTGCAAATACCACTTTTGTATTTGTACTTTTATATCCTAGTTTACGTTGTGAATGTTCTAGTGGGTTGGGGTGTACTCACAAATCCCAACCTCACCCAATTGTGATCCCCACAATCTCCAATTACCCAATTGGAGATTCCGGAGATCCCAATGGGGATTCCCTCCAATTCCCCCTTCATCCATTCTCTCTCATCTTGCCATGTACTTGTAGAGCCTTGGGCTCCTTACCTAATCAATCATTTCAACACTATTTCTTACATGGTATCAGAGCGACCTATCTGCACACGCGGATCAAGGTCCTAATCTGAACGTGCCCGCGCTACGCGCACTTCATCGTCGCGACATTCGTTTCGAGTCGTCGGAATTTCGACGTGCTCCACTCTGCAGTCGCGCCTCTCATCATCGACGGCCTTCGCGCTCGACCTCGTTGAATTTCTCATCTCTGAAGCTTTCACGCTTCTCATCGTCGATTTCCTCATCGGTTCTCGCTGGTCGAATCTCAATTTCGACCATCTCTTAAAACTCGTTCTCGAGTTTCCCCTCAGACCCCGCCAGAATAGGTGAATTCCCCTCGCGAAATCGCCTCCACGAACGTCTCGCGTCAAGCAAGAGCAGGTACACAGGTTGAAGCGGAGCGGAGCTGGTTGCGGAGCTGGTTGCGGAGCTGGTTGCGGAGCTGGTTGTGGAGCTGTGTAGCTGCGGGACAGGGCCTGGGGGTGTGTGGGGGGGTGTGTGGGTCCGGGGTTAGACATAGGCTCAGATTCTGTTTCAAGTCGGCGTTTTAACGAATTTTCGCCGACGCCATTTCCTACTTAGCGGCATTTTGATACAGCCGTCAGAGTGATTTTCAGCAATTCTCGTCGACCAATTTCCAGAAGTGCCGCGCTGCACACCGACAATGGCTTACTCAACCACTTCACACGCCAACCCGATCCCGCTCCTTCGTCTCGAGCCGGACGGCATATGCTCCAACTACAAGGCTTGGCGCTATGGTGTCGACAAGCACCTCCTCAGTCGCGAGGTGAAGGGGCTCGAGCTCACCGACGTCCTTCTCAACATCGGTGACGGCAAAGAGCCTCCTAAACCCGAGAGGTCCGCCGATCCAGCTAATGCCGCCGCCGAAGCAGTTTATGCTGCTGCACTACTCAAGTACAAGAATTGGGAGAAGGCCGATGGTGCGGTCATTAGTGTCTTCATGCGCACCAATTCTCCCGAAATCGTCGAAACCTACCACAACTACCCGTCTGCCAACGCCATTTGGCTCTACCTCGAAGATCACTTCCTGAACAAGACTGCAGTGGGAGTTGCTATACTCATCCCCAGCATGTTCCAAGTGCGGCTCGAGGACTCGCCAGGCATGGCGGACTATGTCACCAAGGTGCAGTCCATTCATGGTGAACTCAAGCAGTTGGGGATAGTCTTCCCCGAGCAAGCCCCTGCAGCCGCTCTCCTAGTCGGCCTCACTCCTGCATACGAAGTCACATGCAAGATGCTCTTGGGCCTTGCTCCTGCAGACCTCACATTTGCCAAGGTCTCATCCGCGCTCCTTTCTGCCGAAAAGGACAACAGCGCTCAAGCCAAGGCCAATGCAATCCGCGCTCCCGTGCCTCAAGCCTATGCCGCTTCGGTGCCATTCCAGCGCAACCGCTCCCCCCCGTGTCCCTATGTCATCAAGCGCGGCCCTCGTGCCGGCCAGGTGTGTGGCGGCACCAACCACGCCCTTGCCTCCTGCTTCAAGAAAAAGGATGACGATTGGTATGCCGTCAATGGGACCGCCTCGAAGCCGCCAAGCTGGATGGTCAATCGTGCTTCTCGCAAGGTCAATCAAGTCGAAGCGCAGGAATCCGTGCAGGCTGCTGTAGCTCCCACTGCTGATGTGCGCCTCAACATGTTGTTCCCTGGCACTGCCATGATCAATGAGACAATTTCGCAGTGTCCCGGCTCACAAAGCACCTCAGCCACAATAGAGTTCACCCTCAACAGTGGGGCCACTCACACGGTTCTCAAGGAAGAACACTCCTTCAAGCCATACGAGACACCAATCCGTCTACTAGGAGCAGACTCCAGTTTCACAACACACGCCAAGGGCTCCTCCACAGTTCCGTGCCCAGCTTTTCCTTCGGGCAGTGTGACCGGCATGTGTGTTCCCACACTACGCCACAATCTCGTGGCCCAACACGAGCTCCAACGGGCAGGCGTCACCACGATCTTTCCAGCACACTCGGATCACTGTGACCTCTTCGACCCTAAGTCCAACAAGCTCCTAGCACGCTTCACACTCAACAGTGGCAAGCTCTACACGCTGCGTTCACCTGCACCTCTCGCCGCCCTCTCCCAAGCGCAAGCTGCCAGCACCACTCCGTGTTCGTGTCGCAGCTTCGCCAACCCAACCATCCTCTACCACCATCGCTTGGGTCACCCCAACTTCCGTACACTTGCCGACATCGCTTCCAAGAAACTTCTTCTTGGCCTCTTGTCGGCGCTTCCTCCACCAGCAGACTCACCTGCACCCACCTGCCTGGACTGCACCAAGAGCAAGCTCAGGCAGCAGCCGCACCCTTCCTCCCCATCCGTCGCAGCTGCTGGACCTAGGGCACATGGATGTCTGGGGCCCAGCTCCAGTCGCATCCCGAGGCGGTCATCGGTGTTAGAAATAGACTGCAAATACCACTTTTGTATTTGTACTTTTATATCCTAGTTTACGTTGTGAATGTTCTAGTGGGTTGGGGTGTACTCACAAATCCCAACCTCACCCAATTGTGATCCCCACAATCTCCAATTACCCAATTGGAGATTCCGGAGATCCCAATGGGGATTCCCTCCAATTCCCCCTTCATCCATTCTCTCTCATCTTGCCATGTACTTGTAGAGCCTTGGGCTCCTTACCTAATCAATCATTTCAACACTATTTCTTACATGGTATCAGAGCGACCTATCTGCACACGCGGATCAAGGTCCTAATCTGAACGTGCCCGCGCTACGCGCACTTCATCGTCGCGACATTCGTTTCGAGTCGTCGGAATTTCGACGTGCTCCACTCTGCAGTCACGCCTCTCATCATCAACGGCCTTCGCGCTCGACCTCGTTGAATTTCTCATCTCTGAAGCTTTCACGCTTCTCATCGTCGATTTCCTCATCGGTTCTCGCTGGTCGAATCTCAATTTTGACCATCACTTAAAACTCGTTCTCGAGTTTCCCCTCAGACCCCGCCAGAATAGGTGAATTCCCCTCGCGAAATCGCCTCCACGAACGTCTCGCGTCAAGCAAGAGCAGGTACACAGGTTGAAGCGGAGCGGAGCTGGTTGCGGAGCTGGTTGCGGAGCTGGTTGCGGAGCTGGTTGCGGAGCTGGTTGTGGAGCTGTGTAGCTGCGGGACAGGGCCTGGGGGTGTGTGGGGGGGTGTGTGGGTCCGGGGTTAGACATAGGCTCAGATTCTGTTTCAAGTCGGCGTTTTAACGAATTTTCGCCGACGCCATTTCCTACTTAGCGGCATTTTGATACAGCCGTCAGAGTGATTTTCAGCAATTCTCGTCGACCAATTTCCAGAAGTGCCGCGCTGCACACCGACAATGGCTTACTCAATCACTTCACTCGCCAACCCGATCCCGCTGCTTCGTCTCGAGCCGGACGGCATATGCTCCAACTACAAGGCTTGGCGCTATGGTGTCGACAAGCACCTCCTCAGTCGCGAGGTGAAGGGGCTCGAGCTCACCGACGTCCTTCTCAACATCGGTGACGGCAAAGAGCCTCCTAAACCCGAGAGGTCCGCCGATCCAGCTAATGCCGCCGCCGAAGCAGTTTATGCTGCTGCACTGCTCAAGTACAAGAATTGGGAGAAGGCCGATGGTGCGGTCATTAGTGTCTTCATGGGCACCACTCCTCCCGAAATCGTCGAAACCTACCACAACTACCCGTCTGCCAACGCCATTTGGCTCTACCTCGAGGATCGCTTCCTGAACAAGACTGCAGTGGGAGTTGCTATACTCATCCCCAGCATGTTCCAAGTGCGGCTCGAGGACTCGCCAGGCATGGCGGACTATGTCACCAAGGTGCAGTCCATTCATGGTGAACTCAAACAGTTGGGGATAGTCTTCCCCGAGCAAGCCCCTGCAGCCGCTCTCCTAGTCGGCCTCACTCTGGCATACGAAGTCACATGCCTCTTGGGCCTTGCTCCTGCGGACCTCACATTTGCCAAGGTCTCATCTGCGCTCCTTTCTGCAGAAAAGGACAACAGTGCTCAAGCCAAGGCCAATGCAATCCGCGCTCCCGTGCCTCAAGCCTATGCTGCTTCGGCGCCATTCCAGCGCAACCGCTTCCCCCCGTGTCCTTACATCATCAAGCACGGCCCTCGTGTTGGCCAGGTGTGTGGCGGCACCAACCACGCCCTTGAATCCGTGCAGGCTGCTGTGGCTGCACCTGCTGATGTGCGCCTCAACATGTTCTTCCCTGGCACTGCCATGATTAATGAGACGATTTCGCAGTATCCTGGCTCACAAAGCACCTCAGCCACAATAGAGTTCACCCTCGACAGTGGGGCCACTCACACGGTTCTCAAGGAAGAACACTCCTCCAAGCCATACGAGACACCAATCCGTCTACTTGGAGCAGACTCCAGTTTCACAACACACGCCAAGAGCTCCTCCACAGTTCCGTGCCCAAGTGACTGGCATGTGTGACTGGCAGTGTGACTGGCATGTGTGTTCCCACACTACGCCACAATCTCGTGGCCCAACATGAGCTCCAACGGACAGGCGTCACCACGATCTTCCCAGCACACTCGGATCACTGTGACCTCTTCGACCCTAAGTCCAACAAGCTCCTAGCACGCTTCACACTCAACAGCAGCAAGCTCTACACGCTGCGTTCACCTGCACCTCTCGCCGCCCTCTCCCAAGCGCAAGCTACCAGCACCATTCCGTGTTCGTGTCGCAGCTTCGCCAACCCAACCATCCTCTACCACCATCGCTTGGGTCACCCCAACTTCCGTACACTTGCCGACATCGCTTCCAAGAAACTTCTTCTTGGCCTCCCGTCGGCGCTTCCTCCACCAACAGACTCACCTGCACCCACCTGCCTGGACTGCACCAAGAGCAAGCTCAGTCAGCAGCCGCAC